ATTGCGACGGTCTATTAGAGCACGGTTTGGTCATCTCCTCGGGCGAAGTATCGTTTAGGAAATGTTGTATTTGCCGATGGCCACCATAAAAAACATCAATATTATGGCTTGAAATTGTCCCGCTGAGCTCTTTATGATGTTACTGAAGGGCCTTTCCACTATCTTTCGCATGCATTGACCATACTTGCATAGCTGACGCACTTACTGACGTATGTGCATAGATACGGGCCGACAGAGTGGCGTAGGTCCTTTCCGACTGGCATTTACTGGCTCATAAATGTATGACAAACCCACAAAGCTTCATGGCTGTAGGCAGAGTATCAAATTGTAGTGATGTTTAGACTTAATCTGAAACGTGGCTCATGTACATTATATGAAGTACTTTTGCTGCATACCTATCAACTCGGCGTGCTATTTGATATGTCCGTGCATATATCGCAAGGTCGTAAATGAGTGTGTATACCACGCGCTCGTGATATTTAAAACCTATGTATAGGATCACTGTCGCTTTCTCGGTACATTTGCGTCGTCGTGCTGGCTTACTGTGCTTACGCTTCTGATGTATCAGTCTATATGACCAAGCAGGTCACTAACTGGTCACAGGCCATACTGCAGCGATACTGGCAAGCTGACCGCGCGTCTGTCACCTGTATTCAACGCAGTATCTACGCGTGCGGCGGGTACACCTTATAGCCACCCGCGACTGAGCCGAGCTCTTATCTCGACCATTATGGACAGGGCACTAAAGTATAGTACTGCGTACAGACAGTTCAGCTTACCACACCCACCGGTATGGTTTGCGCTACCGCACACGTGCTCGTATCTATGTAGACAGCAACTTAATCGTCGTGTGTAGTGCTCACTCGATACTGTAGTCTCACACATTAATGCAACGTACGCTGTGAGCGCTGATGGCACAGATATCATGGTTTGCATGTATCCAAGTGAGCGAGTGTACATTCGATCTATTGTAACGCGCAAGCAGAAATGGACGGTCAGCTTGCAAGGGTTCACAGTAGATACCATGCGCTAATTATTATATGAAACGCGCTACCCTCTGTAGGTGCGTCAACACTATTGGCAGCGCCATAGTCAGTTTACCGTATGTGCGTCTCCAAGCCTCGTACCGTCAGCCAGTATACAAATTACAAAAATAGGTAGGAAAATGGGGGCCTAAAAGGGTATATATTCCAATTACTTGCTCTTCTGCTGCTTCTTTTACTCGATGTACTTGACATTTCGGGCGGTCAGCTTGCGAAGGCGGCTGCGCCTCTTTTTTTCTTGGGGTACCTGTCAGGACCCATCGCCTTCTTGACGCTCGCCAGGCTTTCCTGGCGGCGCACTTCGGCCGACTCGGGTGGGGGGGGGGCTTTTCCTCCCAAAGCTCAACCGCTTTTGGGCCGTTCTCGCAGGCAATACAGCGCCGCACGATGTCCCGCCCGATGATTGTACGGAGTGCGTAACCGTACTGTAGCTTCCCGCAGCAGACGCAGCGCGCCCGGGAATCCGTCGTAGACCGCTGCGGGTTCAGCAGAAGCGGGTCAATCTTCGCCTCGCATTGCTTGCACGTAGGGCCCACAACTGTGAGTAAGTTAGCAACTTATACAAAATTATATTATTTCAACCAATACTTGCGTCCAAATATTAGCCAATAGCACGGTACTGTAAGGCTGGTATTTATTATTAGGCAAAATACTATAATGTTTTAAAATATTACTATTTGGCTTTGCCTTAATAAAAATATTATCAGATTTCCAAACAAATACATACTTTACATGCAATATAAATTGACTAAAACAATTATCTATCGTGCGCGCATGCATTCGTCGGGTGCGGCGCACGGGAGCAGATAGCGCAATGACCGTGCAGCCGCGCGCCTTCATTGCACGGTGGCAGTGTTGAGTGCCAGGTGAAGTAAAATATATATATTCGCAAGGTCCCTACAAAAAGCGCTGGTCGTGAAGCCTACTTTAATATTAAAAAATACTATTGTCTCTACTTTAGAAAGTGTGTGGAAAATAGCATCGCCGAGCTCTTATAAATGCGGCCTGTGAAGCTTATATTAAGCATATTAGTACTATTAATATCGTCATTACTTTGAAAAGTGTGTGGAAAATAACATCCCAGAGCTCTTACAAAATACTGGTCTGTGAAGTCTACATTAATAATGATAAATATCTCTATTTGAGAAGTGTGCAGAGCTCTTAGAAAATAAAGTGGTTACTGTGCCCGATTTGCAGTATCTGCGCAGCTCGCCTGGCCGTTTGCATCCAATCGATGCGTTTCGTGCTCGGCAGAAATGTTTACCTTACGTCCAATCGCGAGGGCGATAGACGGTCTGATCGTGCGACAGATCCAGTCAGTGTCGCAGGTCAGCAGGTATTGACCAATCAGGGCGCGAGTTAATTGTGTAACGCTTTTGGATATAATTGTAATTTTAGCATAGTTAGGTCGAGTCAGAAAGGTAGGCGCGGTCGGTAGGATAGGAGGAAACTGTATAAGACAGGCCGAGTGTAGCCATGCGAAAAGGCAGGAAAAAGCAGCAAGACGGGGAATGCGACGGACTGACGGACGGACAGACCGACAGGTTACAAGGTTAGAAGCGGGGAGATAAACTGGTGAAGTCGATCGACATACTCGTTTTCTGAGCGTAACGTCAGTCCCACCGGTCCGGATTGGAGTCCGAAATCTCTGTTTATCCGTGATATGACGTCCACAGAGTCAATCATCCGGAATGCCACCTCGCCGCTAAAACTCTGTGTGGGGCATTGACTAGTGTACAAGAAACAATTCGGAAAGTTTGGAGCTGACAAGAAACGTGCAAATGCTCGCCACGTGATCGAAGTCGAGTCGTACTTGTAGCTCCATACACGTGCTGTTGTGCTGCCTTTTCTGGCTTCCTCTTTGGTAGACGCAAACACTGAATAGTTCCACGATGTATCAAAACTTACCACTTCGTCTGGCTGCAGTGATGGGTACACATCTTGAAGATTCGACACGCCCACACCGGAGCGTAAGACGTCGGCGAAAACGAGAGCTAGCGACACAGCTCCGATGAAGAACCGCAGCCACGAGAACGGGAGATGGCGCTCGAACACTTTGTCACGCGCAGCGGGTTGTCGGGCATGAGTCTTCTCAATGAGAGCAGCTGGAGTAATCACCTTCTTCCAGCTCAACGAGTGCTTCTCTGCATGACGTGAAGCCCACTTGGATAAAGCCATCAGCGCGCGAGTACCATCTCCACAAGTCGGAGTTACCCGAAACGGGGGCCATCACGAGACTGAATACTAAAAAAAACACACACACAAAAGAGAGACGCAGGGTCTACTTGGACACTTGATAATTTTAGCTCACCTCGAGATTGTCGCTTGTCCGTTTCAAGCCGGAACAAACGAGATATTATTGCTACAGTACCCCCGTCTTCATCCAGCGTCGTATCTTTTAAGAGTGCGTGTTTTTTCGGGGTGCACAACAATCTTTTCATCTCGCGACAGACCCTTACGCTTACGTACCGCTTCGATGTATCGTCTCACGTAGTTGTGTTCGTGGACGCGTTCGCCAAAGTCCTCTCGCTCCAACTCTGTCTGCGGGTTGAAGACCGGGTCCATGTCGATGATACTCCAGTGTGAGAAGATGAGTTGTGGGTTACTAGCAGCTCCTGACGTCTGGATCAACAGGGCGGTGGCAAGCCCGAAGCTTTCAACGACTGGCAAGTGAGCTTCCCCAGAAATAGGCTGTCCCATCGAACACTCTTCCCGAGAAGAATAGCTCCGCCGCTCAGAGA